GTTAATCCCCTCATTTTGATAGTTCTTGACTCCTTGATCCGTGAATTATGTTTCATTATCTGTGATAATACCTAGAGCTAAGTCATATCTACAGATAAGGTCAGTCCGAATGAAGTTGCAAACAATATTATCTGTAATCTGGCCAAGCGACTTGGCCTCGATCAACTTGGAGATGTAGTCAACGGCTAGAAGCAGGAATCTTTGTTGGCTCTTAGGAGGGAGAAAAAGTCCAAGGATGTCGAGTCCCCAGACAGTGAATGTTCATGGACTGACTATGGGTTAGAGTTTGTGCAAGGGCTAAAGCTACATTAGAGTGAATTTGTAGCACTGCTCACATCTTTTTTAAAATAGGATTGGCCAGAAATATATTCTTGTCGTTGTATTCTGTAGGCTAAAATATTTACTCTCAAGTGGCTTTTGCACTCACCGGAGTGTTTTTCTCTCAAAAACCCCTCGACCTCAGTTTCTCTCACACGTCTCAAATATAGGAAGGTGGTTGATCTGTGGAAGAGTTTATTCTCCAAAATAAGGTATTGGGCGGGTTTAATTCAAAAACAACTTGGGTCAGCTACTTGATTGTTGTCTCAGGGAATATGCTCTATCTTGTAGTGCATAAATCTGCTTATCTCTGTCATTGCTTTCGTGAGGTATTTCACCATTACCTCTTCTTTAGCCTCAAATTTCCCTTTTACTTGGTCAACCACTAGTTGGGAGTCACTCTTCACCAGGAGACGTCGTACGCCCATTTTGTAGGCAAATCACAACCCAACTATGAGGGATCCACATTCAGCTTGGTTGTTAGTGACTTCAAATTCTACCTCTACAAAATGATAGAGGTGATTTCCGCTAAGGCTAGTTAGTACGAGCCTGAGCCTCTCTATGGTTTGATTTGATGCTTTGTTTATATGCAAGATCCAGGTCAGTTCATCGGTGATTTTCATGTCACTAGGGTCACCAGGTTCAGTGAAATGTGCTAAGATGCCCGCCACAGCTTGAGCTTTAACGACAATCCTCAGTACGTACGATAGATCGAACTCGCTGAATTATACCGCCCATTTGTGGAATCGGTCATAGTGCTCCAGTTTAGTGATGATTGCCTTGAGAAGAAAGTTGGTGATTGACCTAATTAAGTGCTTCTAAAAGTACGGCGTGGGTCTGTGTGCTGAAACAATGAGAACAAAAGATACTTTATCCATAATAGGATACCTGAATTTCACTCCTTTAAGGACTTGACTTACATAATATACTGGGAATTACTTTCCTCGTTCCGCCAAGATCGGGACCAACTGATGGATTCAGTACTGACTCCTAAATAAAGGAGAGTAGGGAGAGTTTCTCGTTCTGTTTTGGGCTTTAGAGGAGAGACAAATAGATTAGTGAATCCTTCAACTGCTGGAAGTTTTGTTCGTATTCTGTCGACCACCAAAAATTTTGGTCCGTTAAGATTTTAGAAAATATAGCACTGTTGTCGTCCCTCTTGCAGATGAATCAACTATGTCTTGCGATTTGGCCTGTTAATTTCTGAATATCTTTGAAATTGTGTGGAGACAACTGATCGACTTAGGCATGCACATTCTCTGGATTGCCTTTTATCCCTTCGGGCTTTAGCAAAGAACCCTAGGAATTTCCCGATTTTTTCCTCGTACGTGCATTTGAGAGGATTGGATTTCATATTTATTTTCTCAAAAATCTTTTTTAAATGTTGTGTTGTTCAGGTGCTTTGCTTTTAACCGAGATCACCGACATACACTTCATATATATGTATATATGTGC